AGCATAAATACTGGAGGCTGAGACAGGAGCGGTCCGGAGACACTGTGGCCCCATCCGAAGAAACCCCCGGACAGGGCCAAACAGGAAGGATATAACCCCACCCACTCCGCCAAAGCACAGCCCCCGCACCACTAGAGGGATATCCCCAACCACCAACTTACAATCCTGAGACAAGGCCGAGTATAGCCCACAGAGGTCTCCACCACAGCACAAACCAAGGGGGGGGGCGCCAACCCAGACAGGAAGATCACGTCAGTAACTCAACCCACTCAAGTGACGCACCCCTCCCAGGGACGGCATGAAAGAGCACCAGCAAGCCAGTGACTCAGCCCCTGCAACAGGGTTAGAGGCAGAGAACCCCAGTGGAGAGGGGAACCGGCCTGGCAGAGACAGCAAGGGCTGTTCGTTGCTCCAGCCTTTCCATTCACCTTCACACTCCTGGGCCAGACTACACTCAATCATATGACCTACTGAAGAGATAAGTCTTCAGTAAAGACTTAAAGGTTGAGACTGAGTCTGCGTCTCTCACATGGGTAGGCAGACTGTTCCATAAAAATGGAGATCTATAGGAGAAAGCCCTGCCTCCCGCTGTTTGCTTAGAAATTCTAGGGACAATTAGGAGGCCTGCGTCTTGTGACCGTAGCGTACGTATTGGTATGTACGGCAGGACCAACTCGGAAAGATAGGTAGGAGCAAGCCCATGTAACGCTTTATAGGTTAACAGTAAAACCTTGAAATCAGCCCTTGCCTTAACAGGAAGCCAGTGTAGGGAAGCTAGCACTGGAGTAATATGATCAAATTTCTTGGTTCTAGTCAGGATTCTAGCAGCCGTATTTAGCACTAACTGAAGTTTATTTAGTGCTTTATCCGGGTAGCCGGAAAATAGAGCATTGCAGTAGTCTAACCTAGAAGTAACAAATGCATGGATTAATTTTTCTGCATCATTTTTGGACAGAAAATTTCTGATTTTTGCAATGTTACGTAGATGGAAAAAAGCTGTCCTTGAAACAGTCTTGATATGTTCGTCAAAAGAGAGATCAGGGTCAAGAGTAACGCCTAGGTCCTTCACAGTTTTATTTGAGACGACTTTACAACCATCAAGATGAATTGTCAGATTTAACAGAAGATCTCTTTGTTTCTTGGGACCTAGAACAAGCATCTCTGTTTTGTCCGAGTTTAAAAGTAAAAAGTTTTCAGCCATCCACTTCCTTATGTCTGAAACACAGGCTTCTAGCGAGGGCAATTTTGGGGCTTCACCATGCTTCATTGAAATGTACAGCTGTGTGTCATCCGCATAGCAGTGAAAGTTAACATTATGTTTTCGAATAACATCCCCAAGAGGTAAAATATATAGTGAAAACAATAGTGGTCCTAAAACGGAACCTTGAGGAACACCGAAATGTACAGTTGATTTGTCGGAGGACAGACCATTCACAGAGACAAACTGATATCTTTCCGACAGGTAGGATCTAAACCAGGCCAGAACTTGTCCGTGTAGACCAATTTGGGTTTCCAGTCTCTCCAAAAGAATGTGGTGATCGATGGTGTCAAAGGCAGCACTAAGGTCTAGTAGCACGAGGACAGATGCAGAGCCTCGGTCTGACGCCATTAAAAGGTCATTTACCACCTTCACAAGTGCAGTCTCAGTGCTATGATGGGGTCTAAAACCAGACTGAAGCATTTCGTATACATTGTTTGTCTTCAGAAAGGCAGTGAGTTGCTGCGCAACAGCTGCCTTTCTGATAATTGAGATGTACAAACTATGGCATAAAGGAACGACGAGCGGATAAGAGACAATCCGTAATTTCAAAGACATTAATGAGCGAGCTAGGACGGAAGTAGTCAATATAACTATTTGTTCAGCACTTTTGAAATGTACAGCGACAGAATTCAGAACATGGGCCGTTCTTACAGTATTCTCCCTGTACACCAAGTCAGAACCGTAGGCTAAATAAAGGGGGAATATAAGCAGACAATGAAAGCTCTTACAATATTCAATGATTACATTTCTCTAAAACAGGCTATAGGCTAAATGTGCACCATCAAGTCAGAACAGTAGGCTAAGAGGAAAGGGACCAATTTATTAGGGCTACTAACAGTTTACTACACAACATACACTTAGTATTACTTTGTTGGCTACAGTATACATACAGTGCATTCGGAAAGTATTCAGACCCCTTGACTTTTTCCACATTTTGTTATGTTACAGCCTTATTTTAAATGGAATAAATTGTTTTTCCCCCCCATCAATCTACAAACAATACCCCATAATGACAAAGCAAAAACAGGCTTTTAGAATTTTATTTCAGTTTTTTACTTTTAATAAATGTACAAAAAAATTCTTAAAACCTGTTTTCGCTTTGTCATTATGGGTATTGTGTGTAGATTGATGAGGAAAAACATGTATTTAATCCATTTTAGAATAAGGCTGTAATGTAACAACAATTGGAAAAAGTGAAGGGGTCTGAATACTTTCCGAAGGCACTGTATAATAATAATAATAATAATAATATGCCATTTAGCAGACGCTTTTATCCAAAGCGACTTACAGTCGTGCGTGCATACATTTTTGTGTATGGGTGGTCCCGGGGATCGAACCCACTACCTTGGCGTTACAAGCGCCATGCTCTACCAGCTGAGCTACAGAGTATCTCCCTGGCATATTACATAATTTATGCAGCAGCATACAATACTTTTTTGGACTCACCTTGATGTGCTGTGGTCACTTGAACAGGAAGGTGGCGCAACAGTCCTTCTTGTGGGCTCTAGAAAGAGGCCCGAAATCCCGACTTGGAATTCTGAGTTGGAGGACTGTTCAAAAGTATTTTTCGTATTTTCCCAGTCTGAGCTAGTTTTATCCGAGTTCCCAGTTGTCTTGAACTCACTGAAGTCTGAGATTTCCCAGTTCCGAGTTTCCATTTGTTTTGAATGTCATGCTGGATTGACAGCATGGTCAATGTATTCAAACTTTTCTGGCCCATGGCGTTACCCCCTTTTCCGTGATAACCAATTGGTAGTTACGATCTTGTCTCATCGCTGTAACTCCCCTATGGACTCGGTTAAGGTCGAGAGTCAAGCCGCACTGCTTCTTGACACACTGCTCGCTTTACCCGGAAGCCAGCCGTACCAATGTGTCGGAGGAAACACTGTCAAACTGACGACCGAAGTCAGCTTGCAGGCGCCCGGCCCACCACAAGGAGTCGCTAGAGCACGATGAGACAAGGACATCCCGGCCGGCCAAACCCTCCCCTAACCCGGATGACTCTGGGCCAATTGTGCGCCGCCTCATGGGTCTCCTGGTCACAGCCGGCTGTGACACAACCTGGGATCGAACCCGGGGCTGCAGTGGCGCCTTAGCACTCATTGTTGAATTTGCGATTTCCAACTTGTTGTGTAATGTTTATGTCCAATGGCCGATGAGCACCGATACGTTTTATCTATAATTTATCTTCATATGACAAGGATTGAAAAGGATTTGCCAGTAGATTGCCGACTTGATGCATGATGATGACTGCTTGTCTAGCTTGCTAGCTAAGATTTTGAAAGTGTGATGTTGACATGATCAGTCCAATCAAAGCTACAGTAGATATAACATGATTTGACGTCATTTTATCTGTAGCCAATGACCTTGAGCCTTCTTGGATGGGCACTTCTAATGTAAGTCTATGACAGCACCCAAGGGGCTTGAATTTTCTGGCTCTACCCGTAGATTTTGCGGTGACCTAGTGTCCCAATGAGTGACAGAACACTGAGCCAATCACGGCACAACTAGAGAACATTACAAACCCCTACGCTCCGTATTTTCCGCTGGCTGTCCCACCACCACAGAAAGCACTGAGCTAGGCTGAAACACCTGCATTTTGGAGCTGCCTTACTCATGGAAGCAAAAAAGAGACCATGTTTGTATGCGGCTTTATTAACTCAATTATATTTCCTTTTTAACATTGTTTGCAAACTGATATGTGACACGTATTAAAACCAAAGTAACATGCAAAACAGGCACACAAAAAAGTAAAAAAAAAAGTTTTTTAGCTAAACAGGTGGGGCTCAAAACAGGTGGGGCTCAGCCCCAACTTCCCTGAATGACGCGTCGCCACTGTACGTCACCACAGTACAGGCTCACAAAACTACAACTGAAAATGTGTCTGTAATAGTAAGAGAAATCAACATCATGTTTTTGATGGATGGTTCTTCTTATGAGGTATTCCTGTTTTTTCATTGGTTTGTTCGTCAGTCTTTCAATCTGAGCAGCCGTCAACAGCTTTGCTCCTTTCATCCATACAGTCCTTCTTTCCTTGTCTTTTTTCTCCTGCTGAGGGAATCTACTCAACCTCAAGGGTAACTTCCATTCTGGGGATTCACGAAACACATGTCATAGACGACTACAGTGAATGACAGCATGTGAACTGAGGCAGTGAACTCTGGTCATGAAGTAATGCCATGATTACAATCACTCGATTTAGTCACAGGATCATCTGATTAATCTACAGTTTTTTTTTTACTTAATTGAAATACTACTGTGGGTGCCTTAATGCTAATTCTATCCAGGGAAAAGCCTGGCCTCTGTAAAGACCAGAGTTCAACAGCCCTACAATGAACAGACACTTCACATCAAAGGTAAATCTACTGTACAGTAGGGTCTATAAGTCTGTCAGATAGAAGCTCCCATTCACTCTTAGGGGTCTCTACTCTGAGGGGGCTCTGCAGATCATAAAGGAAACATGAGAACAACACAAACTCACGAGGCAATTAAAAAAATAAAACTCTTAAGCTGAAGACTGTGTTGTATGCAACTAATACATATTTATACTCACACTTCTGCTCATGTAATAGGGTTCATTGTGGTAGAAGGGAAAAGAGTCCAACGGTTACATTAGCGGCATTGAATAGCAACTCTGAATGAGTAGAGAGAGACATTACACCCTCACCACATCAGCTTTGACAGAGTTTATTAGACATGGCAAATCCTATTAATCAGCAGGTAACACTATTAGTTTACCCTGGGGTTTGGGATGCATGAGGATCAGGGGGAGCTCCACCTGCACGTCACTGGCTGTGAGACCTCCCAACAAGCTGAATGGGGTTAAAGAACATAGCAGATTAGTATGTATTATTTTCCTCAAATTCAATAAAAAACATGACAACTTTTAAGCTAACCCTTACCCTCCTGAAGAGACCATCAAGTTGACCTTGATTTTGTAGGAGACCAAGATTCCCAACACTTCCTTATCCATACCGGCTCTAATCCTAATGGGGGAAAAGGAGAAGATGGTGAGAGAAGGACTCAGGTTGTTCCAGTCTAGATTTGAATGTGATAATAATGGAAGTGCTAGTCACATAGTGTTGGAGGCCAGGTTTGTGTCCTCATCCTTCAGTCTGCCGTCCAGCGCCAGACCGCGCTTCTCCTTGTTGTCGGCCAGTAGGGGGGTGATGGCAAGGGATTTATCGAATGTGCTATTGGCATCTATTGTCCTAAGAGAAGGTTGGAGATGTTAGTACTCAGAGCATCGGGAGAAGAGCACTCCATAGAAGATGAGGAGGAGAGGGACGTTGTCTGAGGGTGGGTTTCTGTCTACTCACCCAAAGTCTTGAGAAAGTATGGTTTTAGTGTATTTGTCTGCGGAGTAGAGCACCACGTCTGTAGTCTGCTCAACTGAAGGAAAGAGCCCGCTGTTACCAAATGAAGTATAGTATTTTAGTTCTAACATTCATAGTCAGTGGTGATAGACTTACCTGTGATTGTAATTTTTTTCACTGTTTTGGCGGTTTCGTTTTTGACTTTGACGTTGACATTGATCGGATCTCCATGGTAGTAGATCTGACATCAATACAAGACAAAATTGTCTACATCCCCTTTTGATTATGTATTCCAATACAGTTGCTACAGTAGATGCGCTGTAGAAGCCAGTGAGGCCTTCTGTGTAACTCACCTCCTTTTCCAGAGAGGCCTCTAGGTGGATAGGCTTGTCAGACATCATGAAGCTCTTGCAGATGTCAGCCTTGGGCCCAGGAGCACCAGTCGCATCTGGGGCAAACTGGATCTTACGGACGATCATGCGGGCAGTGTCTCTACAAGGAAGGAGGGAAAAGTAGCAAAGAGAAGAAGGGAGGGAGAGAGGAAAAAAGAGGGTCAGAAAGAAACAATTGTTTTTACATGTAGAGAATTTCTTATGTGTGTAAATATTTCAATAAACAACACAAGGATTTGGATAGCCACTCACTTCTTATCAAGTTTCTCTTTCTCGGGGTCTGCCTCAGTTGCAATGTAAGTCTTGACTTCAAAGTCCACACCGCAAGCCTAGGTGTACACAAAAGGTCAATGTAAATATAATCAATCATGGAATTCAATCTATCTGGGGTAAAAACTGTTATCAAGGCAAGGGCCTACCTTTCCAGCATTCTCTGGTCCTGGCTGGATTGTGACAGAGCAGGGAAGGTTTGTGGCAATGTCGAAAGTGAAAGCATGGCCCTGCTCTCCTGTCTTCTTGAGCAGGCAGACGTGCATGGGTGTGAGGGTGGGTTTGTGGCCAGCATCAGGGTACAACTGGATGTGCTTGACCCAGATGTCTTTCCTAAAAGACAGTCCAATGACATCCAGGTCCTCACGACCATAATGGAAGGCACAAGCCAGCTGCACAAACACTGGAGAGAACAGGATCAACATTAACCAGTGTGTAATCATTCCATAGAATTGCTAACATGAGCAACTTCTCTGTAAAATAAAGTGTACCTTTCCTGCCTGCGAGGTCTGCAGGATCAATTTTCACTACTCCCTCTGTAACAACGATGGGTAGAGATTTTAGAGATTTGCCCCTCCACACAAATATCTAAACTGGATACGATACATAAGTGCAAAGTATAAAAGTAAGACTTACCGATAGGGTCCACATTCTGAACATGGTCGACATAGTTTCTCTTTCCAAGGTAAAGGGTAAGCTGAAGATAGGAAGAAAACATTGGTCACACAGAATGTAACTGGAGCTCTTTTACATTCATCATTAATAGGTGATGGTCTCCATTTCTATGGGGCAAGTATTATTAGAGAGACGGAAAAGGTTTTCACTTACTGTCCCATTCCTAGAGATTTTCTTGTATAACCTGAGGAAAGATCAAAGAAAAACTAAACAGTCAAACTCAGCAGTATTTCACTGTAGTGGCACATTCTGAAAGGATAAAACACACAAGGTTCATTTCAAGTAGTGAAAAATCTAAGGTTGATTGAAAGACAAATGATCAATCAACAGTTTATAAAACGTGTGAAGGTGTGTAATTGATAATGACACAACCTGATATAAACATATTATTTATACTAAATGATGATAACTGACATGTTTTGTCCAAAATGTTTCCTAATCCTGAGTTTATATATGTGTTTGTCGGGCCATACTGATGGCTGGGGCTATAAGTCATGGTCATATCTCGTCTTATAAGAGCAGATTGAGGAATTAACTCTTGAGCATTGTATTACCTAACCAACTGGATTTGACTTGGGTTGTAAGCCCCCCTGCATGAGTGACCATGCATCACATAGTGCTTGTGATATTCACAGATGCTCAAGTCAAAGCTGCAGCCTTGACTGCCCTAGCACCTTATGGCAACCAATGCTGTAAAAACCTATGGAAGAAACACTGCTCAATGGAGTTTTTCTCATGGGAGATGAAAAGTCTGATGTAAGCCTACTGCCACTGATAAATTGACAAATCCTTTGTGAATGGTAACACTTCATGTTATTAATATGCATGTGCTCAGTGTCGGATAGGACCCAAGTTATTTCCGGTGTGAGCTTCCTGCTGTTATAGTCAGCAGTCCTCTGAGCTCTTAAAATGACGTTTTTGTTAGAGACCTTTCCTTATTCTGCTCCATTTAGAAGATACCAGCAAGGAAGGTTATAACATATAGGCCTACATGAAATAGATAGCTCTGTAAAATGGAGGAGTGTTGCTACCCCCTAATAGAAAAGGTTTGACTCACTTAGCCATTTTACAGCAACTTCAGGAATATTTCTGTGGAAGACAAAAACAAAATGTACAATGTGTGACTTTATAAAAATGGCACAATAAAAGGTGAATCTAGATCACAATCAGGCTTAACCCCTGATCCACCAACGAGATTAAAGGATGCTCCGTCAGTGTAGAGTGCCAGGGAAAGGCGGAATGACTAATCTGGTGGAATGAGATTACGGCATCACTGTGAGTTACCCTGAGCCAAATCTTGGCTGGGGATTATGCACAGAGACCTTAACAATACCTCAAAGTACCTGGGCAGGAATTACACGGTAGCGTATTCTTATGTCACACTATTCTTCTCACGGCTCAAAGTCAATCTAAAAGGAGGGTTTTCATCCTCAAGTTCCTGATAAGATTCCACACATTGACCAAAGCCCCCCCCAGAAGCGTTCACAAGGTCACAAGGTGTCTTATTTTCATGAAAGATTTACAGAAGATAGATGAAGATAATAACACGAGATCATAACAGTATCAATACTCATAAAGATGAGTAAAAAGAAGAAGAAGATCAATCTAATTTTAGTTGAACTGAAGGATACATTTTAGACAGTGGCGGTCAGTGCCGTTTAAAATGAGGGAGGATGATTCTTTTTTTATGAGCATGGCCTTATTTATATTACAGCATATTGGATGACTGTCATTCATATTCCATTCACCTAGCTCAATGTAACATCTGATTTTCCCTGTACCCATCATGAGGTTGCTACAACCTAGACTATGAATGAAGGTTTACAACGTAGAGACTGTTGAATAATCAAGGTGACATTCAACACCGCCTTGCACACTCTTGCCTGCATCTAGCTGATCTAGAGAGTAATCATTAGTCCAACAGTTGCAAATGTGAATTTCTATTAGACGAATTCCGGTATTTTTATCCCCGTTTCGTTCCGTTTGCTTCCGTTTAAGAAACGTTTTTCAACAGAATCGGCGGAAAGAATACACCCCTGATCACACGCAAACACAGTTCACTTTCATAGCAGCCACATAAAAACAGCATGATCACTTTGCTCGTTGTATATTTAATTCCTTCTTGCAACTATCTACACTCTCTCCTCCTCTCACCTTTTCCCTTTGCTTGTGGACTTCAGTGCACAACACATCAGCTGTCTGTGACCAGGCGAAAAAAACGTTCCAAGCTAAACCTTCATATCATGACCGCTATAACTGCTACACACAGCCTACCTCATTGTCACGTCATAGTCAACATAGCTACTAGAACTAACGTGTTAGTAAACCCACTAGCTACAATCATACAGTACAGTGTACAGTCAGAAAGCAGTTTAGCAGTTACACCGGTGGGCCCCAGTGGCAATAAATTAATAAAACCAAAAGCTTACCTTGACTTGGAAGAGTTCCAGTGTTGGATAGCCATAGCCAGCTAACTAACATAGCATCCCTCTATGTTTCTGTTTGAGTAGGTTAAACTAGCTAGCTGCATTCTCTAGCTAAGTGAAAGTAAAACAAAATACAACCAAATATAGCTCTCTCTCTCTCTTGCTTCTCCTTAATTTTGGAAGATTTTCATTTTTTCAAAACTGTTCAACTATTGTCTTTCTCTCTCTTTGAGTCAACTACTCACCACATTGTATTCACTGCAGTGCTAGCTAGCTGTAGCTTATGCTTTCAGTACTAGATTCATTCTCTGATATTTTGATTGGGTGGACAACATGTCAGTTCATGCAGCAAGAGCTCTGATAGGTTGGGGGACTTCCTCTGAAAGTTGTCATAATTACTGTGTAAGTCTATGGAAGGGGTTGAGAACCATGAGCCTCCTAGGTTTTGTAGTGAAGTCAATGTACCCAGAGGAGGACAGAAGCTAGCTGTCCTCCAGCTACACCAAGGTGCTAACCTACAGAGTGCTGTTGAGGCTACTATAGACCTTCAATGCAAAACAGTGTGTTTTAATCAATTATTTGGTGACGTGAATATTTTATCTATGTTTCACTATTTTAATTTGTATTAAAATCATGATGGTCCTCCCCTTCCTCCTCTGAGGAGCATCCACTGGTTTTAGTCAACCAGTCACTACACACTTAGAAAAAAGGGTTCCAAAAGGGTTATTTGGCTGTCCCCATAGGAGAACCCTTTTTGGATCCAGGTAGAACCCTTTTTGGTTCCAGGTAGAACCCTGTGTAGAAAGGGTTCTACATGTAACCCAAAAGGGTTCTACCTGGAACCAATAGGGTTCTACTTGCAAACAAAAAGGCTTCTTCAAGGGGTTCTCCTATGGGGACAGCCCAAGAACCCTTTAAGGTTCTAGATAGCACCTTTTTTTCTAAGAGTGTACCCACTGGGCACAGACATCAATTAAAAGTCTACTCCATGTTGGTTCAACATAATTTCATTAAAATGACGTGGAAACAACATTGATTCAACCAGTGTGCCCAGTGGGTATTATCATTTCTCGTGTTTGTATTTTGGTACTGTATCACTTTCTATACTCAAGAATGATGCTGTCCATGGTCCTGATCTAAATACAATGCCGGTATCCAATCAATTGATGAGATCAGGACCATGGAGAGTGCCCTTCTCGAGTTGCATTAGGAGAGTGATGCAGAGACAGTGTACCATTTACAGGGAGTAGTTCACTATATTTCAGTAGTCTATATGAAGTTAAGACTGGACTTGATTGTCAGCAGTCAGCTGTCTTTATAAGAATATATATTTTCCACAATGGAATAGTAGCACATTTCTCCTACAAACGGCAGACACTGCCAGTAGGCTGCCAGAGATTGAACACACCTCCATTTCCAATTAGAAATAATATCTATATGTGTGTAGTAAATATTATGCAATTACAGGCAGGATGCTATGCTGCTTTTCTAGTAAGTAATTCACCTAATACCTTTTACTATCCCCTACTAAATCGGACTGACGTATTAACAGGCTAGACACAAGTGTTTCCGAACATAACATTTGAGGCTCCTAGTTGTGGAGTGTGTAATATTCAATTAAGGGCAACAGTTCACTCTACCCATAAACACAGATGTCCCAATTTTAAAATGTAATTGGTTGGCTACATTTATACATTAAAGCATTTACCAACTTTTTTTCAACTACATTACAGAGGTTTTGTCAGCATCAATTCTGGTTTGAAGCCAGTTGAAAACTGTGTAGGCATTGAAGTTTCAATCATTCAACCTACATGCAGTTGTGAAGAAAAAAGGATTGCCGATGTCTTACCTTTTCCTAAAGTTATCAGCGCACCACTGATGTTCAAATTCCTTGCATGTGTTCTGTGGTCAGAGAGTGTAGTCTCTGACTGTTGACATCACTCTTTATATACGGACATCTCCCCCCTCCCTCGACCTGACTCTCTTGTTTTAGACGCTGTAGTCTGTCTCAATCCAATTATTCAATCAGCAAACATCTTCTTTCTTTTTTTTAACCACAAATGGTATAAAAATACCGACAGCCAACTGAAGTAAAACGTTCAATGCCTAGTAAAGTACCTCCAGTGACAGAGTCATGACACTGATCTATAGTAAATATGAACAACAGTGATGTTCCACAGCCTGTTGTTGGTGCTGTGGCTGATCCTGAAGGTCTAATCCTCACAGGGTATTACAATGTATAGGAAAGAGGCCTCCCTTGGTAATTGACAACAAAACTTTGTAAATTAACTCAGCTTTTTGCCTTTGAGTGTGACAAAATGAATATTTTGAGTTTGTTTAACACGTCCTATATTAATTTGCGATTTTGGCGATGGCAATTATCTACAACCCCCGAGTCAGATGAACTCGTGAATACCATTTTTATGTCTCTTAGCATTTTTATGTCTTCAAGCAACAAAGTAAATTGCTAACTAAAGTAAGCACAATTGCTAACTAGCGTTAGTGCAGTGACTGGAAGTCTATGAGAACATTCCTGTTCCTGTAGTCTTCCAGTCATTGCGCTAACGCTAGTTAGCATTGGCTTGCCAAACTACTTCTAATGTCCTTGATACTGGATGCAGATACATAAAAAAAAGTATCCACAAGTTCATCTGACTCTGGGGAAGTAGATAAAGGGCTTCATTGAACTATCCCTTTAATCCCATTTGGTATCGTGTGCCAATAATCAGGCTATAGCTATACCATTACTAAACCAAGAGATCATCTGCCACAGCCGATAGTGTTTATTAGTCTGGTTAACTAGATGTCCCAAGGTCTGAGACACAGGAAATGACCCATTGGACATTTGATTGAAATAATAAACTATTGCAATTATTGTAGCCATTCCTACATTTGTGGACTTCCACTTATAAGACTCTGACGCAAAGAGACAGGATTTGACTGGTATCTTGCCTAAATGTTGGTTCTATAGAGCATATCGGAACACTCATGCAGGTATACCTATTCTATGTGAAATAGTCTCCCTATGACCATCCTAAATCTAACCAATCGAATCTTCTTCTGGACCCTTCTGGCCTCTCACTCAGATTAACTCCCCAAACCCCTTTACACTAACACTAACCACGTTTCCATCCCACCATTTCATGTCGAATTAACAAATAGTCTGATGTTTCCATCAGCCCGGTCGTGATTTTTTTCATGCGTCAGGTAATTAATCCACATGAAATGGTGGGATGGAAACGTGGTTAGTGTTAGTGTAAAGGGGTTTGGGGAGTTAATCTGAGTGAAAGGCCAGAAGGGTCCAGAAGAAGATTAGATTGGTTCGACATGGTGGGCTCTTTTTGTGTCGGTTAAATTAATTAAGCGAGAAATGCAGCAAATATTGACATAATAACCATCATATCGAAGTAAATATAGAGTCACGCGATGATATGTTGTGTGGTCCTCCCACTATGTCTCGGGCATGCAGTTTATTAGGTTACAGATTAAATCAATTATGATGAACTTCACAGGGTGGTGAAAGTGCAAGGTGATGAGCTTGATGCTCCTTTCCAATAAATATCGAGTGTCTTATTCTGGTGACATGATGATCGATGCTTGGGAAAATGCGCATTTTGTTTTATGCATATTTTATATTCG